CACCAACATAGGCCAATCAGCTAACCAGTATTTTCGCCCCTTCCCAAAATTACTGCAACCAAAGGTTTCCAGATGGATATGCGGAGCAAATCCATCTGCCAAAGTCAGGTTACCATTTTACCCCAAGACCGACCAAATAAAAGTTATTTAGAGCCCTAAAGTAGATGACTTTAGAAAAACAACCTATTAGTTTTTTTGTTTTTTTTTATTATCTTGTATAGGAAATTAGTTGCCATCTTAAACAACCAACAATGTATGTATTTTTAGATTTTAAAATAATATTAAAAGATGAATTCCAAGCTGATTAAAAGCAAAATGGCTCTAAAAATATTTCAGGTTCTTTTAATGTCTTTTTATTCTTCTTATAAAAACCACTTAAGCTTTTTAGACTATTTTTGGTAGGAAATTATTTAGCTCTTTATTTACATTTTTGCCACTATTAAGAGCCGCTGTAGAGGGTCCAAAGAGCCAAATGTGGCTCTGGAGCCGCCAGTTGCAGACCCCTGTACTATGCTAACAGTTTGTTGTTCTATGCCATCAAATAGAAATTAAACACATATGTTTATTTCAGTAATGTGGCTGTAGAATGCTTGAAGTGTTGATATTTTCCGGTATTTTTCTCTTCATGTTTCCGTCCCAGTCCCATGCTGAGGATGTCCTTCATCACGTTTAGCTCCAGATCATTCACCATACTGAAACTGACAGAAAACAGGTGATTCCCTTTTTTCTAACTGCACTGGTAAGGTCAAAGGTCTTTTTGTCCATTTGTTGACATGATGCAAAGGTTTGTGGGATCTAGGAAAAACTCAAACTGATCGTCTGATCATTATTTCTTGAAAGGTTGCCTGTGTTTTTACAGACAGTTTGAAAAGTCTACCCCATAAAGCTCTGAGATACCAAACTGGGAGGAAAATCACTGACGTCAGTTTTCATTTCCAAACTACTTCATTGCCTCCAGTTCAGCCATGGACACTTTGTACTGATCCCTCAACCTTTTCGTGATTGTGGTGAACTGGTCCAGCAGGCTGCAGAAATATCCCAGCCATCCAGAGGGAAAAACACCAGTCCAAATCCTTCCTGTAATCCAGCTTTAGCAAGACTGCATGATTGACTCCAAAATACCCGTTTGGTCTGTTTTTATGTGTCTTTAAGGGTTTATTATTTTCAACAGAGCAAACCTTTTCTATAAAGTGTTCTGTGACGTGTATATGCTTGGTGCGAGTAGCTATACCCAAATAATGCCATAAAGCTCCATGTTATTGCTTAGAGACACAGATTATTTGATCCCAAGCAAAGGTGGTGGAGGTCAGCCCGGTACAGAGGCAGCCATTCAAAATGGCCCTTCCCAATATTTTAGATTCATTGCACACTAAATGAAATATTTCAGGTCTTTTATTGTCTTACTGATGATTTTGGCACACAGCTCATGAAAACCCAAAATTCCTATCTCACAAAATTAGCATATTTAATCCGACCAATAAAAGAAAAGTGTTCTTAATACAAAAAAGTCAAACTTCAAATAATTATGTACAGTTATGCACTCAATACTTGGTGGGGAAGCGTTTAGCAGAAATGACAGCTTCAATGCGGCGTGGCATGAAGGCAATCAGCCTGTGGCTCTGCTGAGGTGTCATGGAGGCCCAGGATGCTTCCATAGCGTTTAGCCTTTAGCTCATCCACAGTGTTGGGTCTTGCATCTCTCAATTTTCTCTTCACAATATCCCACAGATTCTCTATGGGGTTTGAGGTCAGGAGAGTTGGCAGGCCAATTGAGCTCAGTAATACCATGGTCAGTAAACCATTTACCAGTGGTTTTGGCACTGTGAGCAGGTGCCAGGTCCTGCTGAAAAATGAAATCTTTAACTCCATAAAGCTTTTCAGCAGATGGAAGCATGAAGTGCTCCAAAATCTCCTGCTAGCTGCATTGACTCTGCCCTTGATAAAACACAGTTGACCAACACCAGCAGCTGACATGGCGTCCCAGACCATCACTGACTGTGGCTACTTGACACTGGACTTCTTGCATTTTGGCATTTCCTTCTCCCCAGTCTTCCTCCAGACTCTGGCACCTTGATTTCCAAATGACCTGCAAAACTGAGCAACAGTCCAGTGCTGCTTCTCTGTAGTCTGGCTCAGGAGCCTCTGCTGCTGTTCTAAAGTGTCTTGACCTGGGGAATGCAGCACCTGTAGCCCATTTCCTGCACACGCCTGTGCACGGTGGCTCTGGATGTTTCCACTCCAGACTCAGTCCACTGCTTCCACAGGTCCCCCAAGCTCTGGAATCGGCCCTTCTCTACAATCTTCTTCAGGGTCCGGTCACCTCTTCTGGTTGTTCAGCGTTTTCTGCCACTTTTTCCCTCCCACAGACTTCCTACTGAGGTGCCTTGATGCAGCACTGTGGGAACAGCCTATTGGTTTAGAAATATCTTTCTGTGTCATTCCCTCTTGCTTGAGGCTGTCAATGATGGCCTTCTGGACAGCAGTCAGGTCGGCAGTCTGACCCATGATTGGGGTTCTGAGTGATGAACCAGGCTGGGAGTTTTAAAGGCCTCAAGAATCTTTTGCAGGTGTTTAGAGTTGATTTGTTGATTCAGATGATCAGGTGCAGAGCTCCTTTAGAGACCTTTTTCATAATATGCTTATTTTGTGAGATAGGAATTTTGGGTTTTCATGAGCTGTATGCCAAAATAATCCATATTAAGACAATAAAAGACCTTAAAATATTTCGGTTAGTGTGCAATGAATCTAAAATATATGAATGTTCAAGTTTTATCATTACATTATAGAAAATAATGAACTTTATCACAATATGCTAATATTTTGAGAAGGACCTGTATGTTTAGAAAGAAAAACCAACCTTAAACAAGGAGGGGGGGACTCAGATTTCAGCTTTCAAAAACCTCCACTGCAGCAATTGAGTTGATTCCTTCCCGCTATCATCGCAACCCCAACCCCTTTACAGGGGAACCAGAAGACCTCGTCTATTCTGCCAGGCCAACAATTCCCTTTAATAACCCCTTTCAGAGACATAGCAGGTATGGGGCATTGCAGGCTAACAAAAGACGCCAAACGACCCCCATTCCAACGAGTCGGACCCGTTCGTCCGTTTCTGTTTGCATGTTTTCTAAACCAAAACAAGGCCTTGATGGGTACTGTATAAAACCTCAAACTCAGCGCTATTTCTGACATTTTTAATAGAAAAAGCTTCCTGGATGGAAGAGAAACGTCTTTAAACTTGGAAACAAAGTCCAGTGGATTGTTTTTAACTTGTTTGGAATCTTCTTTGAAGACCTGCTCAGGACGTAAAAATGTGTTTGCCAGTGTTTTAGGATGCGCTCTCAGCATCAGACCCTATATTTTTTTCACTCAAAGAGAAAACGATTTTTCTGCACCACTCTAGATGTTCAGTGGATCTTTTGTTTTCAAAAGGTTGTTTGTATAAAAATGTTATAGCCATCACCTGAATTCATCATTCAGAAAATTTCAAGTGTCTCAAACATTATTTTTGTTTTGCAGGGGGAAAATCCTACGAGGCCTGAATGCTCTGAGGAAAGAGAAACCTGGTGGGGACACTTTCATGCACCTGGGGCTGGAGAGTGTAAGCAAATATAACACCACATTTTTTATTTTTTTTTTTACAGTGTCCTGTCTGGCAATGTGGCAAAAAGAATAAAATATAACATCACATTAACTTAACCACACAGCAGCTTAGTCAGAACAGTGTTAGGAGGAGATTAAACTCATTACAATGGTCTGATCAAATGTCCTCTAACAAAGAACACCTCTGTCTGCTTCTAGGCAAATGAACAAATACGCAAGGAAAACTTTGGTGAGAACCTGACCTCTTAGGGTTTTTTTCACATCTGCATTGCATCTTCAGCTTACAGCTTTGGCTTGTGCTTTTTCCCAGGCACGGCGAGTGTGATCATCGCTCTGACAGATGGAGACCTGCAAACACAGCCGCTCATCGATGCACAGCAGCAGGTAGGAAACACGGATGTCCAACGAGCTTCAGTCAGGGACCCAGATAACAAGCTCACTTATACACTGCAAAAACAATCTACAAATATGTATAAAAACTGATTAAATTAAGTGTATTTAGATAGTTCACCAATGGAATGAATATTTGTACTCATTAAATAAGATAATTAGATAGTATGCACTTGAAATATGACAATGTTATTGGGTTTTTTTTTCTTATTTTAAATGTAAATTGTCTTGTTCCACCGGCAAAGTGTCTCAATTATCACCTAAATTCATGAAAAAATTCACTTATTTTAAGAAAAAAATGCCTTATTTAGATTTAATTTTTGTGCAATGTAGGGAGCAGTTCTTCCATCAATGTTCTTCCTGCTTTTCTTGTTACTTTCTTGCTCTTGTTTTAGGCAGAGGAAGCCAGACGTCTAGGAGCCATTGTGTACTGTGTTGGTGTCAAAGACTTTAATGAAACACAGGTAATGACGTTTTTAGACTACACTCTGTACGAAGGCTGAGTCACATGTGCTTAAAAGGCTGTAAAGCTTTTCCAGGCTCTTATCAAACAGAGAAGCAGAACTGCAGCTGTTTATGAAAGAGTCCAAGTGTCCGAAGCAAGCCTAACTGTGTCCACTCCCCTCTCTGTGCATCCAGACCTCTGTCTCCAATCACGGTTGAATTAACATGTGGCTGACCAAAACAAACACATAACAGCTACTAAAATCCGACAAATGTAGATTGGCATAAACTAGTTGAAAAGATGTTTATGGTCAGAAACTACTAATTAAGTAATTTAGTACAGTTGCTGATAAAAGCATTGGTTAAAATAATACCTCATCTTTATTCTAGCAGAAATACGCACCATTTCATTGCAATAGTGCAGAAAGGAGGGTATGGAGTGAATTTTATTCCATTATTCTTGCAGGCAAAGAGCATATTCTATTAGAAATTATAAAAAATAAATAAATAAATAAATAAAGCCATAGAGAAAATTAGAAAAATCTTAAAGTTTTCCTAGATTTTAAATGTTTTCAAATTATTTTTATTTTAATTTTTTTTTTATGTTTTCATATTTTACATTTGTCTTTTCAAGAATGAGTTTTATACATTTAATTTTTTTAAATTCCATTTTACAGATCTTATTCTCTTCACTTTGGGGGCGAGCTTTCCTGTGCAAAATCGCATTTCTATTGGTCTGCTGGGCATTCTACAACCACTGTTTATTTGGACAAGAGGGAGCGTTTGTGGCAGAAATGTGATCTACAAAACATAGCCTTAAAAGAATATGATTCTTAAAACTCAATTTGAAAAAAGAAAAATAGAAGGTTAAAAAAAAAAAAATGTAATAAAAAAAAGAAATTAAATAGGAGCAAACAAAGTCACTCTCAAAACCTAATTTTGATGAAGACGTTTTTAAAAGTTTCATGACTGGATTGAATTTTTTCCCCCCATTTATAAAACGGGTTCTATGCTGCAACAATAATGGAACAAAATTCATGCCATAGTTCCTGGGATTCAATCATTGGTCTGATTTTCAAATCATAAAATTTCCATTTGAATGGATTTACATCAAGACTTGTATCTAAAAATATACGCTCAATAGCACCCATAAAATAAACAGCTAGTAAATACACTTAAAAAGTAGCAGTTTTGTGATTTGAAGGAGATTTTCACTAATTCTATTGCTATGTTGTTTATAACAGTTAAATTATCTTTGTTAAACTGTCAAAAGGTTGGTTTTACCTCTCTTCTCAATCAAAGGAGGGCCAACCAACAAATGTTTTAGGAACTCCTCACTTAAACTAAGGCCATTTGTCCCTATTTTAATAGGGTCCAAGATCAAATTTATAACTTTTTTTGAAAGCCCTCCTAACTTTATACTCTAATTACTGTTTTAGAAATCATCTTAAGGAATTGTGCAGCATTTTTGCTCAAAATTCAGTTATATCAGTTATATTATATAAATGGTTTCCATTAAACTGCTCTGTGAGCATGTAGTGACAGTTGACATTTCCTTGTATTTTGACGATGTCAGCAATCCCTCATTGCAAACATGCATGAAGGAACCTGCTGGAGCATAACCTCCAGCATTGCACCTTGCATCTGTAAAAGGTTGTGAAGGTGTGTTTCCAGGAGTTGGGGTTTGTCGTTTCTAATCCAATTAGGATGCAGTCGATAGTTTGCGAGATTTTTCTTGAATAATTTTCTTCATTTGTTCATGGCTTTCCTCTTTTCTCTCCAACTCTAGCTGGCCACCATTGCTGACACCATAGAGCATGTGTTTCCTGTGCTGGGAGGGTTCCATGCCCTTAGGGGTGTCATCGACTCGGTAAACAAACTACTTTCTTTCCAAAAATAAAATCCAAATCCAAGAGAGGGAATTCACATATGCCGAGAAAATCACAAGAGTTACAATTAGCAGCTATTTTCCTAACTTTGTTTGTAATCAAATACACATTTTTGGAGTACAGTCCAGACATTAGAGGCCACTTCAGCATAAGGTTCTCACAACATAGAAAGCTTCACTTTCAGAAACAAATCTTGTATCTTTAACTGATTACTTTTCAGGAAATTAAGGAACTTTAATTCTATGAGAAAGTGTTGCCATGTCAAAGTTGATGCAATTTGGTTAGCAATAGCTGTTAGCTTGTACGTGACTAAGTACTGGCTAAACATAAAGGTACAAAGGGCTTCATCGACCCACGGGAAAGGTCTGGAGGAGAGTTACACCCCACCTTATATGACATTTAGTCGCTCAGCCATTATTGGTGGTACGCTATGAAGCAGCCACAGATGCCCTGGGGCACTCTGCAAGGATTCTGCCAAACACATCAAACCCAAGCCCCACATCAGAGACAGCAACTAATTTGGCTCAAGGAGCACAGGAAAAGTATCTGGTAGAGCTGAACCTACAACGGTCACCTTAGGAGCAAAGGAACCATATCTCGAGGAGCCAAACCCTAAGGGCCACTTCTGCAAACACTGTAGTCAAATGTGCAATTTGTTTACTGAGACAAAGACAACCCTTTCTGAGCTGCATCAATAAGCACATAATCAGTCAAACAGGTTAGTTGATCCTATGATCCTAACAGGTTAGATGAATCAATATGGCAGGTGATGGCTTCACTTCAACCCCATACAACCAATGGGCAATCAGCAATCTAGTGAATAAATAGGGATCAGTGTGGTTGGATCCAAGATGGCCGCCCTCTACTGGGCTGCCATAATGGTATCAGTATGGCAGCCCAGTAGAGGGCGTGCAGTGTCATTACCCGATCCGTACCGGAAGCACGATCCGTACCATCAGCTCATTTGCGCGTGCGCAAACAGAATAACTTCCAGTGGAAATATTTCCTTTTTCTTACTTTTTTATTCTTTTGTAATTTTTAGAGGCATGGGTTTCTTTTTGTATATCTTTGTTTTTTCGTCAATATTGCATTTTCTAAAAATAAAAAAACAGAAATACATAAAAAGTTCAATCGCCTTGTGATAGTTACTTTGACTGCTCTGAGCATGCGCAAATATACGTCACACAGCGTATATATTTAAATTTGTTTAAATATTTGATTTACTCTGTACTTAACTATGCACTCCAGCAGTACTGATCCCACAATGGATTCATTTGCTACCTTTCGTGACCTGCAGTTTTTCATTGATAAGGGAACATTTCCCGAAAATTTGGATTTTTATTCCAGAAAAATGACATCAAGCAATACAATGGATTGAATTTAAAAAGCATCCATTTCTTCCAGAAAAGTCTTCAGTATTGTCTTTACGATTTAGTTTAGTATTCTTTAATTATTTAAGGATATAAATAAAGTTTTTTCAGTACCGTAATTACATTATTTTTTGGCGACCCGGAAGTTATTCTGTTCGCGCAGGCGCAAATGAGCTGATGGTACGGATCGTGCTACCGGTACGGATCGGGTAGCGACATGCAGCAACACTAATTAAAACCCTCACACTATTACTAACCTGGGGTTTGGCTAGTTAGCTCACTCACATATGACGACCTTATGCTTTAAATGACCTGGTTTATTCACTCCAATGTATAGAAACACATCTTATTCATACATTTTGGAGGTCTACATATATAATATCTATGGTGACACTGAGCTGATCTGGTACCTATACCTGAAAGGGTGCTAGCATTTGCCTAGCTTGCTAACACCATGCCTGTCTTGCTAATAATCGACTCAACAGTTGGTGGTCAGCAAGTTTTGTTTTTTTTTTTGGGGGGGGGGACTTTTACGTTTTGTGTAAGACACCAGGAAACCATGATTTAAAAAAAAAATAACATGACTAATTACTAATTTTGCAAATTTATTTTCTCCTAAAAGTGATTTAACACCAATTAAGTTCATTTCAGAAGCATTTTATTTCTAAAATACCTGGTGCTTGAAGCACCAAACAGTTGCTCTTATTTTAGTGACATTTTTGAAAGCACTTTATTATGTCCATTAAGTTTTACCAAATAACTTGTTCATTTATTTTTTTGCAGATTATCAAGAAATCCTGTATTGAAATTTTGGCAGCAGAACCTTCGAGCGTGTGTGCAGGAGGTGGGTAACTGAGAGTATCACAGACACACAGTGACTGGTCTCTCTGAGTCATTGAATCATCTTTGAATCAGTCTGGGAACTGGGTTCATTTCATCAGGAAGCAGTTTGGTTTGGCTTCATTTTTTTATGACTATCCCAGACTGGAGAAGACCACATGCAGCCTGGCAGGTCACTTACCGGAAATCTGCTTAGACTGGGTGCTAATGTCACCGGGTTGAATTAAAGGGAACAACCGTGAGAACGGAGCTGCAGTTAAAGGAGATTAACTAGAAATGAAATATACTGCAGACATTTTTCGGCATAGAACCACTGGAGAGAGAGAGGTTAATGACTTTTTTAAGGGTAAAAGCAGAGGAGCTGTCTGCTTTTTAAATTTACTGCTTTTTTATTTCATGAAACAAGGAACAATTTAACCACTTAGAATTAGACCAGGATATTTATTTTCATTTCCTTCCCTAAATGTCAGCTTCCCTTCATAATATAATCCTGATCTGTGCCTTCTTTTATGCATGATATTTTTACAGGCTTCCCTTCATTCAGATCCTTCTTCCTTCAGTTTAATTGCTTAGATTGATAAAAAAAAAAAAGAAAAAAAAGAAAAGAAAGTTCAATGTGTACCAGGATGATTTAGATTCTTCTATTACCAACAGGTAAATGCTCAATTTTTTGAAGGCCTTGCATTTAATTTTAATATATATATTTTTAGATATTCTTTTGAAATATAATTAGTTTTTTTACTACTTCTAAAAACAAAGCAAGGGTCTAGTTTGTACACGTCCTCACCTCGGAGTCTCCTCTGAAGATAATCCCACCCAGCAAAAGTTGGTTGAAAAGACGACACGATTTACGTCCAAACGACGTCTAGATTTGGTTGAAAAATGAAAGGTGAAAAACTGTAAGTGGGACAAAAGCAGACCAAACGAACACAGCCCAATTTTCGACAACTATTCACGGAATATTACAAGATTATGAAGGACCGACCGGATTTAGCCTGAAATCCTTCGCCTAAATGACGTCTGGTGTTTAGGAGAAAACAACATTGATCAACCCATTTAATGGATATATTATTAAAAACCATCAATTTATTTAAACAGCACTAATGCTCACAGCTTTATCATCAAGACCTCAAATGAAAATCTTGTGATTTATTTGGAAAATATAGCTGTTAGTTTATTTTATTCAGATTTACCATAAGATGTTTTTGGCGCCTATCAGTTTTCAGCCACCCCTCGGTGAACATTGGCCCCCTTCCTGATCACCCCTATTAAACTTTTCTGGGACCGCCACTGTTCAGTCACCATGCTAATGTGCCCACCTATGGAAATCCCTTAGCCATCCCTTGGCCACCGCAGTAAAAATGTCCTAGAATGCATGACATTTAGGTGGAAACACAGTTATAGCCTCAACCGGCACAAAGGGGTAACTTTAAAGCCGTATTTACTTCATTCATACCGTATTTATGGTGGAAAACAATTATTTAGACATGGCTAATATATATATATAAGATATATTTGAGTATATTTGTGACATGTTTCATACTTAGAGATTATGGAGCAAATTCTGTTCCATAACTGTTTTTAGCTAAACACAATATAAATAAAAATGCTTTATCTTTAAAGATATATTTTTGCAATTTTTTTCATATTTTCTTTTAAATATTTACATTTTACAAGAGCTTGTTTTACAGATTTCCCTTTTCCAGATTGAAGTTCAAATTAGATTTAACTCAATCTGAGAACTTGAATGTTAAAAAATAATAAAAAATTGAGAATATAAAATCTTTGAAAATCATTGGAAAAAAAATTGGAAAAATTAACAAATGAAACAGAAATTTGAAAATGAAAGATTTAAAACCACAAATTCTCAAACCTTTTTTGGGGTAAAATGTTTTTCAAACATTTATTTTTGGATTGCTTTTTAATACTATATTTCAACATACAATATATATATATATATATTTTTATTTTTTATTTTATTTTATTATTTTTTTTTTTTCATTTACAAAACTAAAACCTTGCTGACAATAATAATGGACCAAAATCCATGCAATAAAACTTGCAATGTGTTGTGCTACCAGAGACATTTCAAGTTGTGGTGCGAGGAAACGGATTTCTCCACGCAAGAAACATCGACCAGGTGCTCTGCAGCTTCAAGATCAACGATACCGTCACAGTTAGTGAGTAAACCATCTCCAAAGATCAGTTCATATATTTCTATATATTTGGAATTGGAAAGAAGTATAGTTGAAATAAACTAAATTGGTCTAAGTTGAACCAATTCTACTTTTTTACTCTTCATTTAGGTGTTTAACTTTTAGTTTCATTCCAAACATTGGAAGGATTTTATCAATATTTTATGTAACGGGTTTTTTATATAGGTTTAACAATAAAGTAAAAAAAGTGTGACATGCATTTTTATTCAACCGCTTTTACTCTGTTCCCCCTAAATAAAATACAAGCGGTCAGGAAATTCTCATTTGGAGGCTCAGTGGCAAATCTACCGAGCCATCTACCGAGTTTTCCTTCTTTCTGCTTTTTATCAGTGTCTTTCTAGTTGTAATGGAAAAATAACCTTCCCAGGGTGTGAATGCTTTTACTTTAATTATATCTTGTTTTTCTTTTTTTAATGTGCTTTAGATGAAAAGCCTGCTGGTGTAGAAGACACATTCTTACTGTGTCCGGCTCCTGTCATCGATGAGGTTGGAAAGTAGGTGTCTTCTATGTTTTCTTAGGGGCTTGCTTAGAAACAAGCGGTTCAAACGCCTTCAGGAACTAGAAATGTTGTCATTACATCATCCATATCCCATCTTTTCACTATTGCTTTTAAAGAATGACATACTTCGCCGATTTAAGCTATTTATGTCACCCCTCGAATCTTTTTGAAGAAATTATAAAATGGATAAATTTGCACTGTGTTTTCTTCTCTTGTTGGACCCTGGTTCAGAAAGTGTTAAATACAGAAGGAGGTGACCTCAAACAGCATGGCTTGGATTAAAGCAGATAAATGTGTTTAAATGGCCTAGTCATGTAGTTTCTATGTGAGCAAACAGGTAGAAAGAGACCTTAAAACACTGACAGGGGCATTTTTTGCTTCCGCTTCACAGCTGCACTTCTTTCTGCTGCTCCACCAAACCCCCATCTAAACATGCAGCAATTCACAGTCATAATGTGGCAAAGTGTAAAAATATTGCACAGGAATAAACATTTGCGATGGCTCTGTCCAGTCTGTGTCCTTCAGCAACCAGATTTGCTCCTATATCACATCTCTGCGCTCTTATTTAAATCAGAACCATGTTCCAACATCAACACTCTGCAAACCTCCCTGACTCAAGTCTTTATGGGGGGAAAAGTGCTCGGGGCCACAGAATACGTGGCTGAATGTATGGCGTTAAAAGCTTCATAAACACAGAGGGGGGCCAGAGGGGAAGGTCAGGAGACCGGTCTCTCTCTCCCTTTCTATTCGCCTCTTTAATTATGTTACAATTTCCTCATATTTGTCGGCCCTACAGCGGTTGGAATGAACTGAATCCATGCCTCACGCTACCATTGAGCTGCAGGCGGGAAATATTTGAAGACTGCAAATATGTTGGACTTTCAATGCGAATTAGCAATTTTTTCTCTTCACTGTCTTCTTTTATGGTCTCTGCTACATATGAACCCCCCCCCCCCCCCATCCGTCATTTTATTCTCTCTCAGCAGACTTGGTCTGGGCTGGATGATCAAAGCCAGCCAGGTCTTTCATGTGTCCGACCACATGTGTTTATAGCATGCAACATTTGAAGTGTGTGCTGTAGAAACCAGAGCTATAGGTGTTCTCTGGTCATCTTAAGGGAACCGCTTTACTTGATGTTTAAACTGGATTATTTAGTAACTTTAAAAAAAAAAGGCACTAATAATGGATCCTGAGTTTGAAACCAAAGAAAGAAAACAATTTTAACCACATTGAGAAATTGAATAAAAAAAACTTTTATCCAATTTCTGACAATGCTTTGCTTCCATTACTGTTCAATCCAATCCAATCCAGCTTTATAAATAAAGCACTGTAATATTTCTCAAAGGACCAAAGTGCTGTACAGTGAAACAACATAACACCATTACACAGACTCAAAAAACCATACAAGCATAAAAGACTAAATTAAAATCAGAACGATAAAATCTATAATATAATAAAATAAAATAAAAGTAATTTAAAATCATCTATCGCAGACTAAAATCAACATCTAACACAGTTTTTAAGAGCGATTTAAAAAGAAGTAGACAATTGAATTTGCAATGGAAGGTGGTTCCACAGAGAAAGCAGAATCACCCCTAAGCTTCCATTTAGTTTTTGGTACCTGAAGAAGCAGCTGATTGGCTGATCTGAGTGAACGGGAGGGAGGGTGCATGGAGGTGCAGCAACTCAGAAAGATAAGATGGAGCTAGACCATGGAGAGACTTAAAAACAGATAAAAGAACTTTAAAATGAATCTTAAAATGTACAGGGAGCCATAAGGCTAAAATATGGGTAATTTACGAGTGCCAGATAAAATATGTGCTGCTGCCCTAACCCCCAAATAAAGTGTCACAGTAATCCAGCCGGGCAGTGATAAAGGCATGGATTACTGCCTCTAAATGATCTCTGGAGAGAATTGGCTTTATTTTGGCCAACTGCCTTAACTGAAAGAACATTTTATTCCCAGTTGCCTTTATCTGGTGGTTTAATTTAAAATCAGCATGCATTAGAAAATGCTTTATTGATTCAAAAGGGAATGTAAATGTTGTAGCTCATAGCTGTTTTTGATGCCATCTGTTGTTCATAAACACTCCCAACCACCTTTCTCGAGTTTTCCAGCCTGCTTTAAATCTCTGCCTGCTCGTATAGTGAGGCAGCCTGGCTGAGAGCGAAGCCACATTTCAGTAAAACACATACTACTGCACTGCTAATATACTGGCTGGGTCAATTTCTTCTAACTTATTTCCTAAAGATTTCACTTTCCCATAATAATTGAATAATTGGAAGAAATGCTTGAATTTCCTGCTCTTCTCTCTTCACCTTCCAACCCACATGAGTGTTGCTGCCTCTGCCTCTAAAGCCGGGCATACACTGTAAGATTTCTTTTGCCCTTTTCAAGACGATTTTCCAGTCGTGCGAGAATTTTTCAATCGAGCCGAGTTCCAGCCTGATCATGCATCCTGTAGTCTATAGGGTGGTAAGAGGCGATCTGCCTCTTATGACCGCCTCCCCATCAGGAATCATAAGATCAGGAGAAAATCAAAGATGTGTGAAATTCATCCTCTGCACCTCCTTTTCATCTCAGCTTATGGAAGGAGTTGGAGTATTATTTTAGTTTTTCAGATGTTGATGAGCTGCTTCCAGGTGTAAGAAACATAACTTGCTGTGGTTGCTATGGCTGCTAGTAATAACAAAAGTCCAAAAATGGAAAGTTGGCTGCAAAAATCCTTCAAGCTGCAAAGCATGCAACACAAGAGGCACAAGACATAGAACAAAAGATCCACAAAGATAAAAACATAAGTTCTATTTAAAAAAATCATATCAATAATAAATAAAAAATAATAATAAAAAATAAATAAATAAAAAAAT